CTCAGTCTGCCATCCGTGGCTCTGCGTGTGGCGTGAGGGTCCAGGCTTGTTTTCCGCCTTTGATAAATGGAGATTGCAAAGGTCTTCTCCCTTTACCTCACTTTCAATTTGGACTTTTAAAGTCAGCAGATATTGCTTTTGTAGTTAGAAGAAAACACATTTTTTAAAAATGTACAAGTGAAGTGAAATGAGAGAGAGGTGTCTCAGGCTGGACCCCAGGACCCCCAGCTCCTCCCGCGCGGGCCTTGACCCTGAGGGGCTGGACTGCTGAGCTCTGCTTTCAGAAAAGCTCAGTCGGCCCTGGAGGCCTTGGCTGGCATTGAGGCCTGGGCTGGGGTCCTTCTGGGGAATTCCCTGGGGACAGCTGGTCACATAGTTCCCAGGTCCCCCTGGGCAGTGAGACAGATGAAACAGAAGGGCTCTTCTGTAGAGTCCCTGTCCCTCTGCGACTGAGTGGCCTGTGGAGGCTGTCCGTCTCGGGCGTGTGGGCGTGGAAGGGAGTGCTGCCTCGCACCTTGACGGGCACTTCTCCCACAGGCCGGCGTTTGCCCACAGACACACCCCACCCCGTCCTCAAGGAACAGCCGTCCCAGCCGGAGCCCAGTGTGAAGGCAGAGATGGCGCTGAGCCCAGAGTCCCCAACCACGTTCCCTGCGCTGGCTGTGTCAGGCAGTGCCACTCCCAAGCCACCTGGTGGCCCCAATGTGTCCCTCAACAGCTCCTGGACCAGCCCGACGGAGCCTGGCTCCTTGCAGGACCTGGTGGCCATGGGGGCCCTCGGGGCAGTGCTCTCGGCCATGGGTCTGGTGGGCATGGTGGGCAACGTGTACACGCTGGTGGTCACCTGCCGCTTCCTGCGCACCTCGGCCTCCATGTACGCCTACGTGGTGAACCTGGCTCTGGCAGACCTGCTGCACCTGCTCAGCATCCCCTTCATCGTGGCCACCTACATCACCAAGGACTGGCACTTTGGTGACGTGGGCTGCCGCGTCCTCTTCAGCCTGGATTTCCTGACCATGCATGCCAGCATCTTCACCCTGACCGTCATGAGCAGTGAGCGCCATGCTGCAGTGTTGAGGCCCCTGGACACCGCGCAGCGCTCCAAGGGCTACCGCAAGCTGCTGGTGCTGGGCACCTGGCTGCTGGCACTGCTGCTGACCCTGCCCATGATGCTCGCCATCCGGCTGGTCCACAGGGGCCCCAAGAGCCTCTGCCTGCCGGCCTGGGGCCCACGTGCACACCGCGCCTACCTGACACTGCTCTTTGGGACCAGCATCGTGGGGCCCGGCCTGGTCATCGGGCTGCTCTACGCCCGCCTGGCCCGGGCCTACTGGCTGTCACAGCTGGCCTCCTGCAGGCAGACACGGCGGCTGCCCAACCCCAGGGTGCTCCGCCTCGTCCTCAGCGTTGTCCTGCTCTTCTGGGCCTGCTTCCTGCCCTTCTGGCTGTGGCAGCTGCTCTCCCAGTACCACGAGGCCCTGCCGCTGGCGCCCCGGACAGTGCGCCTCGTCAACTACCTGACCACCTGCCTCACCTACGGCAACAGCTGCCTCAACCCCTTCCTCTACACGCTGCTCACCAAGAACTACCGCGAGCACGTGCGGGGACGCCCACGCTCCAGGGGCAGCAGTGGCCATGGGGGCACCAGCAGCTTCCTGCCCAGTCACGTCCACTTCCAGAGGGACTCAGGACACTCACTGTCCTCCAGCAGCCAACAGGCCACGGAGACCCTCATACTGTCCCCTGTGGCCGCTGGTGGGGCCTGTGTCTGAGTCCCCTGTGTGAGCCTACTGGTCAGGGAGTCCAGGCAGGGAAGGCCCCAGAGCCCAGGTCATGCCCTGCAGCCCTTCCCAAGCGCCCACTCCCAGCTGGCCTCTGCTGCTCTTCCTCCACCTTCTTCTGTTTCTCACTGCTGCCCTCAGCGAGCTGGCCACGTCCCCACCGTGTGCAGATGCTCCTCCCGCACACGTCTCTGGAGCCAGGCCTGCCTCCCAGGCCCATGGGGGTCTGATGCCCAGCCTTGTGGTCCCAGAGCAGCCCTTCTGCCCTCTTGGCTGGGAAGGCCGTGGGCACCTCTTCCCTGTCCCCTGCCCCAGCCCTCCTGGCCTCTGCTCTTCCCTGCTTGGCCCTGGGCACAATAAAGCCGGAGCTGTGCAGCCTGTGCCTCAGCACAATGGCTGAGGAGGGTCAGGGAGGAGGGTCCTGCCCCCGGGACCACGGCACGGGGGGGGGGGAGCTGCCTGGCTGCTGGGGGATGCTTGTCAGGGGCTGGAACACACACATGTGGCTAAAAGGACTGTCCCTCAGTGTCAGGGATGACGTGTGCCGGTGGCCTCCCGGGCCTCAGGGAGGGGCAGGGAGAGGCAGGACGAGCTCTCCTCTGGCATGCTGGAAGTGGGGGGAGCCGGGCCAGGGAGGCTGGGCCACCTCGTGAACCAGCCCCGGGCGCCACAGCACCACACAACAGTGAACCGCGAGGAGGAACCACAGGTGGCAGGAAGACCACAGGAACACGGCTCTGTGGGCAGGCGGGCCAGGAGGGCCCCTGTTCTGGACCCCACTTCTCTGGGAACCCTCCTGCCCTCCAGAGCCAAGGTGCCCCAGAGGGGGGACTTTCTGGAGCCACGGGGCTGTCCATGGCCGCTGACCCCCTGAGGTGGACATGACCAAAATGTTGGGTCTCTTGGGGGCACGGGTGGCCTCACGGCCCAGGGAGAGAGTCACAGCACCTCAACATGCCTGACCCCACCTGGAAGCTCTTCTGGAGCGGAGAGCAGGGGACCACAGGGATGAGCCTGAGATGTGGCCTGGCCTGGTCCCTCCCAGCCAAGGTCAGGGAAGGTTCCGTGCCTGGGTCTCTGAGCACCTGAGACGTCCCAGATGTCCCCACAGGCCCGACAGGAGTAGAGTCCTAGAGAAAGACACGTGTGCACATGTCTGTGAGTGTGCACACATCCAGGGCTCCCTCGGTGTGGAGAGGGCGGGAGGGAGACCCAGGGGTGGAGAGGGAAGGTGAGCACTAGGCAGCATCCTTGCAGAAACTGAGGTGGCGGCTGGTCAGCTGAGCACCAACGTTCCACCCCAGGGAGAGTCGGGCAGGTGTACAGGGTCCTGCTGAGACAAAGCACTCCGCAGGCCACAGGGTGCAATGCAGCCCACAGGGGGCACCTGGCCCTCACCTGGCTTCTCCTGGCCCTCACCTGGCCTCCCCTGGTCCTCACCTGGCCCTCACCTGACCCTCCCCTGGCTCCTCTCCTGGCCCTCACCTGGCCTCACCTGGTCCTCACCTGGCTCCTCACCTGGCCCTCACCTGACCCTCACCTGACCCTCACCTGGCTCCTCTCCTGGTCCTCACCTGACCCTCACCTGGCCCTTCACCTGGCCTTCACTTGACCCTCACCTGGCTCCTCTCCTGGTCCTCACCTGGCTCCTCACCTGACCCTCACCTGGCCCTCACCTGACCCTCACCTGGCTCCTCACCTGGCCCTCACCTGGCCTCACCTGGCCCTTCACCTGGCCTTCACCTGACCCTCACCTGGCTCCTCACCTGACCCTCACCTGACCCTCACCTGGCTCCTCTCCTGGCCCTTCACCTGACCTTCACCTGACCCTCACCTGGCCTTCACCTGACCCTCACCTGGCCTTCACCTGGCCTTCACCTGACCCTTACCTGGCCTTTACCTGGCCTTCACCTAGCCCTCACCTGGCTCCTCTCCTGGTCCTCACCTGACCTTCACCTGGCCCTCACCTGACCCTCACCTGACCTTCACCTGGCCCTCACCTGACCCTCACCTGGCCTTCACCTGGCCCTTTACCTGGCCTTCACCTGACCCTCACCTGGCCCTCAGCTGGCCCTCACCTGGCCTTCACCTGACCCTCACCTGGCCCTCACCTGACCCTCACCTGGCCTTCACCTGACCCTCACCTGACCCTCACCTGGCCCTTTACCTGGCCTTCACCTGACCCTCAGCTGGCCCTCAGCTGGCCCTCACCTGGCCGTCTTCTCATACCTCCCACAAGACACACACAGACACACAAAGACCCTACACAACTTGCTGCGGCTCAGTACCCCCTGACCCCACCCTCGGTCACTCCCTTTCCACCTCATTCCTGGCACCCAAGTCCCAGTGAGCTGCCAGAATCCAGTTCCCAGGGGCAGTAGGTGCCATCAAAGCCAGGAAGGTGATCTATGCAGGCTCCTCCAGCTCAGGAGTGTGTGGAGCCCAGCAGGCACTGTGCAGGCCCCTGGCCCCACCTCTGCTCTGAGGCTGCCCAGGGTCCATGGTCTGAGGCAGACAGGAGAGGGTCAGGACGAGGGAGCACACAGGTCGGTGTGCACAGATGGACTGAGCATCAGTCTCCTTGTTGGTCTGAAGCCCACCTCCCCTGTGTGAAGTGTGCTGCAGTGATCAGGCCATCCACAGAGGGGCGCCACTCTCACCACAAACCAGCCCAGGACCCGCGTCTCCTGCAGGATACACACACAGCAAAGGCAGGCTCTGGAGACTGTGGGCTGGCAGCCTCGAGGCAGAATCTTCTCTCCTGTCTGAAGGTCTGGGAGCTAGCGGCTTTCAGACTCGCCCGCGTGGTGTGGTGCAGCTCTGCTACCTAGAGGTGGATGCCTGGGTCTGGTGTGGGGCTGCCTCAGAACCGGCAAATCCCAGCCGTGGGGCTGGGGTGGGTGCAGGCTCATGCGTCCTCAGTAGAGACCCACTGTGCCCTGGGCACTCACCCCTGAGGCAGGACCCTTCCTGTCCTGGCCTGCACTCGGACCTCTTGTAATTTGGGTGCATCTAGGGGAAGGGATTTCTCTGCACAGAAGCTACTTGGGAATCCCCTTGTGAGACGCTCAGCTGGGATGGAAAGGGTGGTAGGTTTGGGCTGGAGCCGGGTGAATGGTGGGGATCCTGGCTGTGGGGGGCACACAAGGCTCCCAGGAAGACCTCGAACAGCGGCCAGCATGGGGACTGGCTGGACTGAAGGGAGGTGACATCCTGCCAGGCCATGGGATACAGCCCTCTCTCCACTGACCCCACCCAACTGCCTCAGAGCAGAGCAGAATCAGGAAGGGGAAGGTGACTGATAGGCTGTGGCCCACAGTGGTGGTGAATGAACAAATGTGTCACTGGGTCCCTTGGCTGGGAGGGGACACCCAGTACATGATCAGTTTTCTGGGTGTGTGGCTTTTCTGGCCAGCGGTCTCCAGGCAGGTCTGCAGGGGCTGGATGACCTCTGCCCTGGCAGAGGGGTGACACCATTCTCCCAGGCTGTCCAGGGGGCCCCATGGAACTTTTTCAAGTACCCTGAGCTCCCCGGGGAGTGGCCCAGCCCAGTCCAAGGGCTACAGAGCCAAGGCTGTGACTGCCCCAGGCCCCACCCTCTCTCCCCAAGAGCAAGCTTTGAGATGTCGCTCAAGTGGGTCCACAGGGGGAGAACAGCAGGTGCCCAGCTGAGTGGGGACACACCAGGGCAAGGAGGTACAGCTCTCACTACCCAGGCACCTGCCCAGGTCTGTGAGTCCTGTCACATAAGTTACCAACAAGAAACACACACACCTAAGTCCCCTGTACTTCTAACTTTTCCAGGAATAAAGCTCTTGGGAAGTACCACCTACGACAAGTAGATACCACTGTTTACTTGTCCACAGAGCTCTCTGCTTTGGGACATTGTTTCCATCAAAAGGAATTTGAGGGGACACCTACTGGATTGTGGGTGACCACGGCAATGGCATTTATGGGTGAGAGGTGGCCCTGGCCTGGGAGGGTGGCAGGGTGGATGACTGTGATTCATTTGCAAAAGCCTGAGCTCCTCCTGCCCAGAGCATACACCTGCCTGCCAGGTGGGTCCTGCCTGGCTACCTGAAGGGCCACCTGGGGAAGGCCCTGGGCTCTGTCATCCTCGGGGCGTGGAGCAGGCACTGGGGAGGTTGTCCCAAGCAGTGCAGGCGCCTTCCCCCTCCCCATGTGCCAAGACAGGTTTTTCCATTTAAATTCCAGACAGATGATGGTACCAGCAGGAAGGCAGCTTGTGGCCAGTGGGCAGCCAACTCAGGCCTTTTCCAGGCTAGCTCAGGCCCCAGAGGAGCCCCGTCCCGCAAGCCATCAGGGGCAGGTGCCAGGTTGGCACTGGCCCTGGCTGGACAGTACCGTCCTGTGACTCTGCTCTCCTGGACTCCAAGTCTGGTGGACTGGGTGGTGAGTGCAGTAAGAGTGGGAAGGCAGCCTTGCGTGCCCAGCAGCCTGAGGACTCTGTCCAACGCTCTGGCCCCTCTGCCTCCCCTGCCAGCCCAGCCAGGACACCTCCCAGTGTCTCAGGCCGCCCAGAGGTCACCGCCCGGGAGGTCCCTCCCCTCTCCATCCTGCCCCCATCTGGCCTCTGCTGCATCTTTCATGGGGCCCATGTGAGCCCCCTTCACTGAGGGACTGGAGGCTTGAGGGGCTGCCAGGCCACGTCAGGACCTGCAGGTGGGGGCCATGGTATGCATGTGACCGGGGAAGTGCTGGACAGACTCCAGTGCCTGGAACTGATGTGTCCTTGCCGGGTATGGGCTGGCGACTGTCCACCCCGACCAGGTGCCAGGAGTGCTGCCCCTCTACTTGGCCACCCTGAGCCCTCCATAGCCTCTGGCTCTCTGTAATGTGATTGACAGTCCAGAGCTGTGTCTCACCCCAGAACTATGCATCAGCATGAAATCCAGAGACGGTGCAGCTGCCCAGGGTGGTGGCCCTATGAGCTGGCGGTCAGTGCCGGCCACCCCGTTCCAGGATTCCTC